TTATTTATTTATTTATCTTATAATCTTTTAAACATGCTAACCACCATTTTAGATTCTGAGTGAAACGATGAATGTATTGATTTTACAATGATGTGTGTTTTTTTTTTTATTTTTTTATTTTTTTTTTTATTTTTGTGTCTGTCATCACGTTTTAGGACAGTAAAAGTGCTTGGATTTTCTTCATCAGTAGCTTTTCTGATAGGAAAGTGAATCTAGTTGGTACTTTGGGGGGTCAAAAGTATAAATTTCCCAGTAGTTTTCACAAGCGCCGGGAAAAAACAACATAAAAATTAAGGAAAAACGAGAATTTTTACGCAAAATTGGTTTTCCAAAAAATCGATTTTGGTTATTGGTGTAACTCTAAAACAAATGAACGTATATACATGAAATTTTCACTGGTTGTTTATATTTGCATTTTCTATACACGATAACATTTTCAAAATATTTTGATTTATTTGAACTGTTTAGGGACATTTTCATTTTCCATTTTTTTTTAGTTTTTTTTCTAAAAATATCAATAAAATTTTATTTGTTGGTTGCGAAAGCTTGAAAATTTAATAGAAGGCTCCTAATATGTTGTTTCAAAGGCAGATGAAAAATATTAAAAATCCTTAGTCACAATTTTTTTTTATAAGCATTTAAAGTTCAAAAATTGACAAAATATGGAAAAATCACGAAAATTAGCAAATTATTTTGAGTTAAGAATTCGTAAAAATTTTTCTTTTTAAATCTAAGATTTGAAAATGAAACACAAGATTCCTTATAAGATTATCTACCTTTATAAATAAAAAAATCTCTACCGGACAGTCAAATTAAATTTTTATGAGCGTTTGAAATTCAAATTTTTACAACATTGGATTTTCACTCGATTTCTCATGTAGCGATTTCCTTATTTTGTTGTAATTCAAAAACGAATAACTGTAGATACATGAAAATTTCACTGAATGTTTATATTAGCATTTCCTACACACCATACAATTTTGAAAATATTTTGACTCTTTTTGAGCTGTTTATGGACATTTACAGCTTTCAATTTTTTTTAGTTTTTTTTTCTATAAATATCAATAAAGTTTTATCTGTTGGGCCAAAAAGTATAAAAAGGTGGGCAAGTGGGTGTCGCTCTGCTGTACAGTAGGTTACAAGTGGGTCACTGTATAATGGATGGTATTAAATTTGAATTCAATGATATAATATCATTGTATAAGAAAAACGATTCTGAGCGGTGACGGTATGTCAGTCATGTATAAGACATATTATATACATATCTATGGTATTAAACAAAAAATTGACCTATAATAAATTCCAAATTAATCATATCACAATATCCATTAGATACTTATAACAGTTATAACGCGTTATACATCAACAAAAACCGTGATACTGTCATAGATATATAATAGTACACTTTAGAAGTTTCAAGTACTCACGAATAATATTATTCAATCACAACAAAATAACTAAAATCGTAATTCTTGGTTTAAATATGAAATTTTGTCTAAATTTGAAATTAAAATGTCTGTAAAAAATAAGTGTGTTTATATATTTTTTAGATTTTTTGGTTACAGTATGAATTATTTAAGAGAATATTTGTTTTAAATTTTCAACTCTTAGTTATAAAAACTGAACATTTTATAATTTTTTAATTCCAACGATTGATAATTTTTGAGATTTTGATAAATTTTGTCAAAATTCCAACTTTAAATGCTTATAAAAAAAAATCGTGCCTATGTATTTTTAATATTTTTCAACTGATATTGTAACAATATATCAGGAGCCTTGTATTAAATTTTTACACTTTTTGGCCCAACAGATAAAACTTTATTGATATTTATAGAAAAAAAAACTAAAAAAAATTGAAAGCTGTAAATGTCCATAAACAGCTCAAAAAGAGTCAAAATCTTTTCAAAATTGTATGGTGTATAGGAAATGCTAATATAAACATTCAGTGAAATTTTCATGTATCTACAGTTATTCGTTTTTTAATTACAACAAAATAAGGAAATCGCTACATGAGAAATCGAGTGAAAATCCAATGTTGTAAAAATTTGAATTTCAAACGCTCATAAAAATTTAATTTGACTGTCCGGTAGAGATTTTTTTATTGATAAAGGTAGATAATCTTATAAGGAATCTTGTGTTTCATTTTCAAATCTTAGATTTAAAAAGAAAAATTTTTACGAATTCTTAACTCAAAATAATTTGCTAATTTTCGTGATTTTTCCATATTTTGTCAATTTTTGAACTTTAAATGCTTATAAAAAAAATTGTGACTAAGGATTTTTAATATTTTTCATCTGCCTTTGAAACAACATATTAGGAGCCTTCTATTAAATTTTCAAGCTTTCGCAACCAACAAATAAAATTTTATTGATATTTCTAGAAAAAAAACTAAAAAAAATGAAAAATGAAAATGTCCCTAAACAGTTCAAAATAAATCAAAATATTTTGAAAATGTTATCGTGTATAGAAAATGCAAATATAAACAACCAGTGAAAATTTCATGTATCTACGGTCATTTGTTTTAAAGTTACACCAATAACCAAATTCGATTTTTTGGAAAATCGATTTTGCGTAAAAATTCCCGTTTTTCCTTAATTTTTATGTTGTTTTTCCCGGCGCTTGTGAAAACTACTGGAAAATAATTACTTTTGACCCCCCAAAGTACCAACTAGATTCACTTTCCTATCAGAAAAGGTACTATTGAAGAAAATCGAAGCACTTTTACTGTCCCAAAACGTGATGACAGACACAAAAATATAAATAAAAATATAAAAATATAAAAATATAAAAATATAAAATATAAAAACATACATCATTGTAAAACCAATACATTCATCGCTCCGCTCAGAATCTAAAATTTAATACAAGGCTCCTGATATATTGTTACAATATCAGTTGAAAAATATTAAAAATACATAGGCACGATTTTTTTTTATAAGCATTTAAAGTTGGAATTTTGACAAAATTTATCAAAATCTCGAAAATTATCAATCGTTGGAATTAAAAAATTATAAAATGTTCAGTTTTTATCACTAAGAGTTGAAAATTTAAAACAAAGATTCTCTTAAATAATTCATACTGTAACCAAAAAATCTAAAAAATATATAAACACAGTTATTTTTTACAGACATTTTAATTTCAAATTTAGACAAAATTTCATATTTAAACCAAGAATTACGATTTTAGTTATTTTGTTGTGATTGTATAATATTAATCGTGGGTACTTGAAATTTCTAAAGTAATCTACTATATATATCTATGATAGTATTAGGGTTTGTTGTAGGTGTATAACGCGTTATAAGTACCTAATGGATATTGTGATATGATTAATTTGGAATTCATTATAGGTCAATTTTTTTTAATACCATAGATATGTATATAATATTATGTCTTATACCTAAAAGGACATACCGTCTCCGCTCAGAATCGTTTTTCTTATACAATGATATTATATCATTGAATTCAAATTTAATACCATCCATTATACAATGACCCACTTGTAACCTACTGTACAGCAGAGCGACACCCACTTGCCCACCTTTTTTTTCCTTTAATAATACCTACATACTTTTATTCAAATACTGATTTTGTTAAATGTTTAAGTATACCTAAAGACTATATTTTTAAATTCCTGAAATGTTTATACTATCAGAACTTAGAAGTGTCCTGTGGCATTACAAACTAAATGAGACACCCCTTTTTTTTACTGTAGATTATTTAGCAGACAATATTCTTGAAAATGTTGAAGACTTGAAGTGGTATTTAAATAAAAATTCTAATAAGTAGTTTCTGAGATATTAAAATGTTTATTCTAAGGATAATAATTCTTAAATATAGTTTAACAAAAATATAAACTATATGTGATATTAGATATAGTATTCATTATATTATACTTCTATCATTTTTACAAATTATTTATATTGATAGATCATTAATAGTTATATAGGTAACCAACATTAAATCAACTAAGCCTCCCATATATCTAATTAAACCAATTATTGTTATATAACTCAAAAACTACAAGTTAAACATTTAAAAATTCCAAAAATCAAAATTTGAATATTTGTATAGTTCAAGCATAAAATGAGGGTGAGACCCTATAAATATACCTATGTCTATAGTTGGAAATCTTGTACAACCAAAAAAAAAACCTGAAATGACGCCACTGGATATTACCCATCTTCTATAACTTATATATTATATTCTATACAATTTTAAATAATCTGTAAAAGTAGGTTCCTTCTACAGTTCTACTTGGCAATTGGTAGATATTTACCCCAAAAATTGTGGATGAGGATTTCTGACTATACAAGAGCAGAGTGACTATATGCCCCCCTTCCCACAGACCACCTAATTTCATAATTTTTTTAATAAGCCAATAATTGGTAGTTGGTAGTCCAGTGGCGTTGTGTACTCTTAACATTTTTCAGAGGCAAGTTTAATATTTCACCCGCTCTGCAGCACCATTAACACGAGATAAAGACGTCACATTTGCTGCCAAATTTGTAATTACCCGTCGTAGTTATCACTAAAATATTATAGTTAATACTAAATGATCACCTATTGGCCATTACCCACCACCACTCTTTGAAAAGTTCTAGATTGATATGCCACAGCATAGCCTATAGGTTGTAATGAACTTAGAAATCTCATATAACTATAAGTATATAACTATAATGGACATCATTAGAATTACGAAAACATATAATATTAAATACTATAATAATATGATAAGTGATGCATGTCAAAAAATTAAAGTAATGTCTGAAATACATTGAAATCCTGGTTATCTCTGTTTTTGAACAAATAAGAATAACCAATACAATGTTACTGCTTAGTGCTTACTAAAATAATGAAGAAAGAAATGTTCAAAGTACAAAAATTTAAAAAAAAAAAAACTTTATTTTTTTATTGACACATAGTGTTAATAGTAATATAACATTTAAATTAATTTAATGTGTATACAAAAATAAATTACAGTAATAGTTTATATTATATTTTTATTTTTTACCGTGTACAACAGACAAAAAATCATCAACGTCAACATTTGTCAGCAATCGTTGATGTTCAACTTTGGAAACCTTAACAGGAGTCTACAGAAATAAATAAATACATTGAATATAACATTCTACATTTTTAATCAAATATAATAAACTATTTCTAATTAGTGGCAAAGAGTTTAATCTTATTGTATAAGTTATAATATATTTTCTGGCCACTTATAAAAAAGTACACATAGTAGTGTATTATTATACATTTATTTTGTTACTCATTGTTTAGAATCTCAACTTAAGACAATAAAAATGCATAGTAATGCTCAAATAACACAAAATCAGGCAAATAAATCAAATATGTCGACAATAATCATTTGTAAAATAAAAATTAATCCATAACAATTTACCACAGCAAAAGTCAATACTTTCAGTGTACAGTAATTTTCGGTATTTTGGTTATTAACTATTGTTCTATTTATCATGGAAATTATTGAAAAAATAACTGACATTTTATAAAACTAAATTATTGTTAAAAAATTGTTTAGGTAGTACACATGTATCAACTGATCCTCCCTCTTACCGGTTTATAATCATTTATAATAGAAATACATTTTCATCACAAATTAATATTAAAATGTATTAGGTACTACATTTGGTGTAAATTATGATGGCATATAGTTGCTAAATCACTAAGTTTTTTTTTAAAAATAACTTTAAATATTACATCTATATTTGCAATACATATTTCATTTTATAAAGATGTTTAAAATGTATCATTCTTGATACTATGATTTACATTTCTATTTTAGAAAGTAGAAACAATTTTACTGTAATTTTTTAAGTCAAAATATTAACCAGTTTATAATCAGTTTAAACTGTAGATTTTTGAATAATTGTTTGTATATAATTATATACAATATGCCTCATTGTAATAAAATGTTTGTTTATAGAGGGTGATTTTTTTTGTCAAGAACCACTTGAAAACACAAAGTATTAATGTTTTTGAAAATGATATTTTTTAACCTAGTTTTTAGTATTTTTACTTTTTTTGTCGTCAACATACGTTTTCATTTAATCTTTGAAAGCAGAATTTTTTTTTGAATTCTTTGATGCATAAAAATCAAATTTAGGAGAAGCGTCAAATAGTTTATGAGTTTATAAGAGGAGTGAAGTGGTATGAGGTTACTCCCCAAAATGTTGGTTTTACTAAGCACACATTTACATGACCCACATGTACATATATAGAAAATTGCCTATGTTGAACTCCTTAAAATGGTCGGTATCCAACCCCCTTAATGTTTTGAATATATTTCTGTGACAATATAAAAACTATGAAAGAATTTTTTAGTAATTAATTGATGCATTTACCTTATTATTTATTTCTCGATCTGAGAGCTTTTTAGTAGCTTTCTTAACAATATCTTCTGATCTATGTGATTTTTGTAAATCATTTAGTGACCTGCAACATTATTAGCAACAACATCAATTATGGCACGTTTAATTTTCAATTAACTTTACTTAAATCTAAAATATTGTATTATATAGATTACTAATACATATATAGCATACAGATATCAAATTAAAAGGCACTTAAGCAGTTTTGAACAAAAACTTAACAAGTATTTTTGTCATAATTAATTTCTATGAAATATATGAAAACTATACTTCAGTTTTAATAAGTTTATGTAAAGTAATTTGTACATAAATAGTGCACAATAAAATATTTTGTTCAATCGAAAATAACTAATAATAATATGATATATTACATTCTTTGCGGCATTGAAAATCGTTCATTTTCTTCAAGCCAATTGTTTCCTTTACTATAATCACGGTAACTGCGTCTTTTTTCATCTTTGTGCTTAAATTTATCTTTATCCCTTACTGAATCTTCCCAAAACTCTCTTTTCATATTTTGATGATGACTTCTTTGAAAATGGTTCCGACTATCAAATTGCAATCGTTCATTGTGGTATCGAAATTTGTTTGGCCTATTCACATAATTTAATAATAAATATTATCATTGATTATTGATTGACTATGTATAATCAATGATATTATATATTATATATAATATACAGAGTGTTACAGAACACCTGACAAATTAAATAACTTTTGTTCTAATCAATATTTTTTAATTTTTTTTTTTTATATAGTTATATAATTTATTGACTATTGCTCTACATGTATAATATAACTTTTTTTAATATTGTTTTTGAAAAATATTTAGACTTTTTGAATTTAAAATGTTTTTTAGGGCTGGGATAAGCTTCATTTAATAAAAATAATGAGATTTCAAAAAATTTCAAAAAATAAACTACATGACTTAAATAAAGATTTACAAATTGGCTAAAAAAAATTTATATTTTCAGTAATTAAAATAAAAAATAAAAAATGTTATACCGTGTATACCATGTAATCAAGCATCAGAAAATGATATAAAAAAATTTTTAAATATTGATTAGAACAGAAGTTATTTCACTTGTCAGATGTTACAAGCTGTATATTTAAAGCTAATAGAATAGATAATTCCTTAGTTTGTTTAATAATGTATTAACAATTAACTCACACTACTTGAAATTAAACCATTGTAAATTTTATTTAATGAGCACAAAAATTTACCTATATTTTCTATCATAATTATGATGGGCTTTATTTTGCCAACGGTTTGTTTCCCTATGTCTGTCGTTTCTGTGTCTTATTGGGTAATTATGAACTGAGTCTTCCCAAAAAGACGGGCTTCTTCTGGCTCTATTATCTTTGTCATTTTTTATCTCAACACAGTTTTTAGGAGTACTAGTCACTGGTATGATTATTTCTTCATCATTCCTCAACTTACTACTTTCCATTTCTGGAATGACGTCTAACATTTTGTTTGTTGTAATCAACTGTGAGGTAATTGGATCGGATAGTTGTACATTGTTCGATTCAGAGAGTATATCAAGAAAAGTAAATGTTTCTGATAAATTTAAATGCACCTCCTGAAAAATATTAAATAAAATAATAATAATAATAATAATATTTAAAGTAAACAAGTATAATAATAACTAATTATAATCCAATATGAACAGTGTTATTAATAATCAATTTAAGCACCTAAAAGATTAGGTAGTTGATTTTTAACATAGTGTACAGTATACTGAAATAATATAGAATAATGAAATTTAATTTATTCAACTACAGACAAGTTTTCATTATGGTATACACTATAGGTTATATACATTTGAACACTAAAAATAACATGCAAACATGTATGATTTTCGTTTTTGTTTTATTGTAATGACTTGATTTATTTTAATAGGATTCAGAATTATTGAAAAATTGTATAATATTTATAGTAACTTCTAAGTTTTTATATCTAAACAACATACCTCACGTTCACCATCTTCAGAAATGATATCAAACACTCTTGACCGTTTTAAATATTCTATATTGTCTGGTGTATCACAGCTTTTGTTTATCAGAACATCAAATGTATCATCATGTCTAACAGTAACACAGGAAATATTACTAACACTGCTCTTGTAATTATTGACGGGCAATTCAGATCTGTCAAGACTGATGTTAATTTTTTTATTAGAATTACAATTTGGTATAGATTTGTTGTTGTCCATAGACCTGATTTGGTCTGTACATGTTTGTACAGACCCCAATGGTGCAATGGATTTATTATGAGCTGTATTGTTATCCATCCCATAAGACCCTTTATTTATGTCCATTATACAATTCTTAGACAATTTAATTCTTTGATTGCTCATATCCAGAGATTTTCTTTTATTACTAAAATCACTAGTTGCTATATTCTTACTGGATCCATCTACATTATACATTTTTGAAGAATTAATTTTGGAATCACCATTATTTATTTTAGTGGTCTTAACACCAGGTTCAATTGTTTTGATTGTTTTTCCTTTTGTGCTATAGTCATAAATTGTTGACGATCTTTTGTTCAAATATCTACTTAACCCGACCAACTGTTCCGAGTTGTCATTATTTGTGGTATCTTTTTGTATTTGACCAGCGTTTTTATTGTTGGATTTACATGGTGTTGGACTCTTAGACAAACTAAAGAATTTTTCTACTGGGTCATCAAAATGAACCATGAACTTTTTTGCACTTTTCTTCTTTATTGTTTCTGATGTTTTTTCATTATTTTTCTTGGGTTCTACTAATGTTGGTTTAATGGATGGCGTCTTGATAGGTTGCATGTGAGGTGCATGCAACTCATTTGATATATTATTTTCAACACCATTAACATTTACAACAGACATAGATTTAATTGATTTGCTTTTGGGTATGTGTTTGAAACCAGAATTTTTCTCTTCATCTTGAGGCATTTCCTTAATAACTATTGTATTATGCTGTTCATTAGTGTTTAATAATTCATGTGAACTTGAACTTGATGAAATTTCACTTCCAAATAGCTCAACTTTAACAGACTCATACACTTGTTTTTTTTTTGTTCCAACGCTTTTTTTATTTAATGTATTTTTTACTTTAGATTTACTCAAAAGTTTTTCCTTTGATTTTAAGGGTGTACATTCAACTTTATCTTTCTTTGTCTTATTAATAATTTTACGGGTATTGTTTGAAGTTTTAAGATAATTCTGTTCTGGTGCTACAATAATAGTATTAACAGACCTTGAATTTCCTGGAGTAGAAGGAATTGGTAAAATTGGTGGTTTATTTAAATATGTTTCTCTGAATAATTTTATTGAAGATGTTTCTGTCAATGAATCATCATAATGTTCTTGTGAACATGGCTTACTTAGATTGTATTCATATTTTATTTTTGAATTAGGAGTTTTGGGTATATCAAATGTTTTGATTGGTTGAATACTAATACTTTTTGTAGAACTATTTAATTCACTTGAGTTGTTTGTATCAGTTTGATCTAATAAACCTTGTTCTTTCACATTTTTAGCTGATTCATTTGAATTATTTACTGTTAATGTATAGTTATAATTATTAAATGATTCTAAAATGTTAGAATTTTCGTGATTTGTTTTTTTCGGAACAGTATTCAAATAGGAAGACTCAATTAACTGATTTTGATTATCGTTCTGTTTGTTAATATTAGCATTAGACTGTTCCAGGTTAATTTGAGTTAAACTCTGACTTTTTGAAGAATCAGATATTATGGGAAGTTGTTTATTATTAAACTCAGATATTTTATTTGAAGTTTCTAAGGAATTTATAAATTCATTCTCTGTTTTCAATAGATTTTCATTATTGTCGTTTTTTAAAGAATCAGATTTAACTGACTGGTCTTCAGTATACGATTCTGTAGTTTTATCTGGAGTTTCCAACAAAATCAAAAAATCTTCTTGTTTTTTTGACAAATTTTTATTATTCACATTTATTGATGTTCCAGATATAGTTGGTGCTTGTTTATTATTCAATTTAGTTATTTTATCTGAGGTTTCTAATGATATAGGAAATTTACTCACATTTTTCAATGCATTCAGAGAATCAGATTTAATTGGTGATTGTTTATCATGTAATTCTGTAACATTATTAAAAGTTTCCAATGAAATAGGAAATTCTGTCTGCTCCTTTAATGGCTGTTGGCTATTTAGTGTTGGTTTATTAGAATCTTGTTCAATTAAACCGGCACTTGTGTTTTCAGAAATATTTGATACATCAGTATATAGTTCATTTGTTGTGATTGAATGGTTACTTGATTTCTTTTGTTCTTCAGGCAAAACTATAGGATTATTTTGATTAATGACCGGCTTAATTTTTTTTCTTGGCAATTTTTTTTTTCTTGTTTTTCTTCCATCCGCATCTGATGTTAATATTCCAGCCCCCACCATTTCTCTAATGTCTGTATCCCAGTGTTTAATACTCTCTTTCTTAATAATTGATTCAAATCCATTAACTGAACCCCAATCAGCTTGCAGTATTGGTAAAGGACTAGACGATGGTTCTTCCAAACATTTTTCAATTCTTTTTGGTGTACCATAGATAAGTAATGAACGGGCCTGATTTTGAGTCATATTCTTAGCCTGCGGAGTACTAAACTCTAAGCACTTCTGAGTGCTTCTTCTACGAGGTGTACTCATACTTTTATCTTTTGGAGGTTCAAGTTTATCATCTGGTGTGTTGTGAACAATCGTATCATTAATTTCAGATAAAACTTCAGGTAATTTGATATTATTAATCTCAACATGATTTTTTTCTTGAGATTCAAATGAAATTTGATTAGGAACTTCAATAATAATTGATTTAGGAATCTGAACAGGTGGTTGTCTAGAAATTATATTTGTTATCCTAAATTTGCTCTTTATGCCAGGAACTTCTAATGGATGTTTTCTTCGTTTTGGAAATATATGTTTTTCAGGAACTAAAAGTAATAACTATTAATACAATATTTATTAGTGATAATATTATTATTGCCTTATTGGTATACAGAGCTTAACAGGAAGACCTGACAAATGAAATAACTTTTGTTTTAATCTATATTATTATTTTGATTTTGATTTATGTGCTACACATATAATATAACATTTTTCATTTTAGATTCTGATCGGTGCGATGAATGTATTGATTTTACAATGATGTGTTTTTTTTTCTAATTTTTAATTTTTTAATTTGTATTTTTGTACACGATAAGTAATCGAAATAATGGTTTGATTTTAACTTATGTATCTTGTTCCATGGAAAAGTGTATATAATTTGGGCACTGGGAGGTCAAAATTTTATATTCAAAGTAATTTTCAAAAGCGCAAAGAAAAACAAAAGAAAATTTAAGGAAAAACGGGAATTTTTAATCAAAATCAATTTTTCACAAAATTGAAATTGGTTTTTGGTGTAACTTTAAAATAAATGACTCTAGATAGATGACATTTTCACTGGTTGTTTATATTTGCATTTTCTATACACGATAACATTTTCAAAATATTTTGATTTATTTTGAAGTGTTTAGGGACATTTTCATTTTCCATTTTTATTTAGTTTGTTTTCTAAAAATATCAATAAGATTTTATTTGTTGGTTAAAAAAGCTTGAAAATTTAATAGAAGGCTACTAGTATATTGTTTCAAAGGCAGATGAAAAATATTAAAAATCCTTAGTCACAGTTTTTTTTTACAAGCATTTAAAGTTCAAAAATTGACAAAATATGGAAAAATCACGAAAATTAGCAAATTATTTTGAGTTAAGAATTCGTAAAAATTTTTATTTTTAAATCCAAGATTTTAAAATGTAATACAAGATTTCTTATAAGATTATCTATCTTTATCAAAAAAAAAAAATGTCTATAAGAAAGTCAAATTAAATTTTTATGAGCTATATTTTTTGAAATTCAAATTTTTACAACATTGGATAATCACTCGATTTCTTCTCATGTAGCGATTTCCTTAATTTGTTGTAATTCAAAAACGAACAACTGTAGATACATGAAAATTTCACCGAATGTTTATATTAGCATTTCCTAAACACCATACAATTTGGATAATATTTTGACTCTTTTTGAGCTGTTTACGGTCATTTACAGTTTTCAATTTTTTTAGTTTTTTTTTCTATAAATATCAATAAAGTTTTATCTTTTGGGCCAAAAAGGGTAAAAATGTAATACAAGGCTCCTGATATATTGCTACAATATCAGTTGAAAAATATTAAAAATACATATAAACAATTTTTTTTATAAGCATTTTAAGATCAAATGTCGACAAAATTTATCAAATTTAAAATTTAATAATTATTTTGTAGTTAAAAATTTATAAAATGTTCAACTTTATATCTAAGGATTGAAAATGTATAATAAGATTCCAAATAGTTTCTAGTAGTAGTTAATTCTGTTACCAAAAAATCAAAAAAATACACAAGCACAGTTTATTTTTATAGTCATTTTAAGTTCAAATTTGGACGAAATTACTTATTAAAATCAATATTAACGATTTTGATTTTTTGTTGTAATTTTATTATTCGGGGATATATTACCATTGATATGTATATAATATGTCTTAAACCTAGACTTACATACCGTCTTCGCTCAGAATCGTTTTTCTTATACAATGATATTATATCATTGAATTCAAAATTAATACTATCTATTATACAGTGACCCACTTGAAACCTACTGTACAGCAGAGCACCTTTTTTTTTTTTTAGGAATGTCAATAAAATTTTATTTGTTAGGTAAAAAAATTTGAATATTTAATAATTTTAATCATCTTTTACAATGTTAAATCGTTTTGAAGTAAGACTCATAATTTGCAGTTTTAACTTTTTAAAAATATATTTAGAATTTAAAAATTCTTATAAAAAATTAAAAAGTATACTTTTTGAATTTAAAATGTTTTTTTACTGCTGGATCAACTGTATTTAATAAAAATAATGAGATTTCAAAAAAATATCAAATATAAACTACATGAATTAAATGTTTTAACAATCATCATTTTTCTAAAACCCTAATTTACAAATTGGGTAAATTAAATTTTTCAAAAAAAATGTATATCAAAGTTAAAATTTTCAGTATTAAAAACAAAAATGTTATACTATGCATCTAACACAGGCACCTGTAAATTATTTGACAAAAAAATTTTAAAATATTAATTAGAACAAGTTATTTTATTTGTCAGATTCTAATGTTACGTCTGTATATAAGTAAATTAGAATAAACTACTATAAAGTGCATTTTTCTGTAATTAATACATTTTTGTCTGAATTATCTTTTAAAGATTTTGTATATTTTTTAAATCACATCCCTTATTTTTGATGGTTTACAAAAAATTATCTTTATTTAGCAGTTTGGGTTATTAGTTTCTAAGGCCTAAATAAATTTCGATAAAATAACACTGGATTATCCATATGCAGCTCGATAAAAATGTTGGGGATTACCTTTAATATTTAATTTAATATTAATCCAATACCAATTATTGTATAATGCAAAATAAGGATCATATGCTATATCTTATATTTAAATATAATGTTAAGAGGACGTGATACACACATGTGTTGTCTCTGTCTTACAGGTTTGTAACATTGTAAATTGTATGCTCAGCGGAACACGTGTAGCAGAGTTACCCTAAAAATTAGAGTGAATTTACCTCTTATAAAATCTAAAGGTAAGATTATTATCTAAGCAACCTCATGAGCTGTTTATTATATTTTAATTTTAAAATTGTAAATTGTTTGTACATTTTAAAATACTCATAACTTGCTTTAAAATTAAAATATAATAAAAAGCCCATGAGGTTGTATATATAGATAATAATCTTGCATTTAGATTTTATATGAGGTCATACACTCTAATTTTTAAATTAATGGAGCTACACGTTTTCTGTTGAGCATACAATTTACAATGCTACGCACTTGATAACACGTGTGGGTATCACGTCCTTTTAATAGATCATCATTAAAACTTAAAAATTGAATTATTACAATCTTTTTACTGACTAATTAGTAATTATACATACCTTGGTGAATCTTTAACATAGGAGTTATTTTTGGGGCAATTTTAACATAGTTTGCTTTGGATAGGTAATCTTCTTCTCCTAAAAACAAAATAAAGTATTCACTAAAATATCAATCAATTTTATACAAATTAAAGGTGGCATTCTGGAATTTATTGTTTATTCTACTAGTATCGAGGCATTTTTTCTTTCAGTTATTAAAGGTTAGGTTAAATTGAAAACTATTTTTTAAGCATTTATAACAGTTTAGATTTTACTACAAGAAAAAAACCATTGATCGATCACTTATAGACAAATCAAGCAAATAAGATCTTTTTATATTTTAATATTGATAGGCCATACCTATGAATGTACCTATTTATAGTCCTTAAAAATGTATTTGGTTTAACAATCATAATAACCTTTATTATTTAGGCATGCACTCTTTTTTTATAAGTGGACAAACCATTTTTATTTTATAAAACATAAGATATTATAGGACGTAGGTGAACAGTTGTATTTACTTCTATCAATATTTTTTATATTTTAAACTAGATACATTTTATACCTATACTTTATACAAAATATATACAATTAAGAGTATAGAAGCTTTTTAAAATTAATAATAACTATTTAATATGAATTAGGTACCTAAAAACTATTATTGTATATTAATAAAGATTCTACACACAAATTGTATTAAATTGTATAAAGCATACCTGCTTCTATTTTAGTTGAATTGAAGTTATATAAGTCACTCGATTGTAGAACTATTTGATTTGATAACAAATCGTAACTATCAAAAGTTGTTGTTCTGATATTACCTTCATGTATCAATACAATTTTATTGTCAACTTTCATACATTCTTCATTGTCATAAACAATATGTTTTGGCATATTAAAATTATTCTTTTTTAATTTGTTTGATACATCATCTATAAAAACAAATAAAACCATATAAATTATTGATTGTATACAATCATTGAGGATCTATAATATACCTTTTTTCTTGGCACTACGTAAACGGGATTTGATTGAGTCTAGCTGATCATTAGTACACGTTTTTTTACCAATTTCATTATTGTCAACATTAAAAACTGAAACATAATATACAAAAGCTTATTTGTGTTATATATTATTATATCAATGATACATTCTGAGTCAGTGGCGGCAGGATATAGGATTATTTGAAGCAATTGCTTCATGTCTGAAATGGGTGGATGGGTGTATAAATATATATATAATCGTAAGACCTCAACAAAAATATCATGTCAAATATTATAATTAATAATTATTAATGACCCCTGCTGCTAATTTTGGTTCAATGAAGGGTAAGGTGGTAAAAATATTTAAAATATACAATATGCTTCAAAGCTTACACAATTTCGCGCCACCACTGTTCTGAGTAGTTTCTAATTTAAAATATATAAATAGTATTATAAAAAAAGTATATATATATTATGTACTAATAATTAATTGTTGTTATATCATCTGTATTTTGTGTGTATAGTTGATTAAATATTTAAATATCAAATTATTTATAAGATTATAAAATTATAATGACTAACCCTGTGAAAACTACAAAACCATATGGGTAGATTTTTTGTGACAATATATATTTATCCATATACCTTTGCTTTAATAGTATAATATTTAGAATATTATCATACCACACGGATAATACTTTATTAATATTTTCACAAATACCAATACTGTCAACTATTCACAAATTTTTAATTGTAAATTATAATACAATAAAAATAAAAATGTATTTTGTTAGGTTAGGTCAATTAAATTAATCATAATTAATATTTTTCTAATTTTACATCTATATTGGCAATTATTTTATTAACGATTAACTTATAGAAATATTAATTATAAATATAGGTATACTTTAAATTACATCAGATTATAAAAAGTAAATACTAGTAAGAAAAAAAAAATTCTAAATACTTATAACTACTAAAACCTATCTAAAATTATAAGTTCTATACTATAGATATTATCCAAATAGTTTATCATAAAATATTTAAGTTCTTTACAAACTTTATTAGGAAACATACCTAAAAACTCATCCAGTATATTTTTGATTTGTGGATCAGACTGAGCAGAGTCTAATGCTTTTTCAAGTGTAGGAGGATCTAATACTCTTTCTAATTCTTTTTGAGCTTCGAAACATTTATTGATAGTATCAGCAATTTTTTCTAACAAACTTTGGTCATTCAAAAATGTATCGACTAATTCACCAGTATCAATAATAACTGAACCATCTTTTATCTTATCCTCTTTAGAGAATCCTGGCAAAGAGTCAAGTGATGTAGCTTCAGGTATTTGCTGATGTTCAGCCCGATCCCTATAAAAAAAAAGTGTTAGACACTTACATTTTAAAAATTATGCATACAATTTGAACAGTTTATTAGTTACATAAATTTATGTTTTCAAGAATTATGTTAGGAAATATGTCATCACTCTCCATATCTTTAGTTTTTATTATTATTTTCTAAACACAATATTGATATACGGACATACTGTTGTAGAAAATAATTTTTTCAAAATTGGTATCCATTTTAAATGTAAAGCAAATACTAATACTAAAACTAAAACTAATTGTAGATATTTATAATATTAATACATACACAGAAATTAAATCATGAATATTTTTTGGACTACATTGTAGCATTGGCTCAATATTTATTTTTGTTTCATCTTTTTTCTTTCCTGGAGTGCTACACATTTGCTTATTAATTTGAAACATTGGAGATTCTTTGTCATCAATTTTGGAATATGTGGTTCTTGCATTATTATTTATTAGTTGTGTCATTGAAGATAGACAGGGTGAAGAAAATGTACCAACGTTTTTCTCATCAGTTATAGTGGTCTCCTTATTAAATGTGTCAATTTCTTTTGTTTTGGAAACATTAATAGAATTTATCTCAGTGAATAATAATTCTTCAGATGTACTTTCATTTGCTTCTATATTAATAGAAATATGTGTACCCTGATCTTTTGTATGAACTGTATTACCAACACATTTGTCAACCATGTTTAATTTGGTCTCAACAGATTTATCTTCTTTGGTTGGTGTATGGTCTGAATCTAGTAAATACTGTAATTTCTCAATTAATGTTTTCGATTCAAATGCTTCAGGTATTCGTTCTTGAACTAAAACCAAAACATATAAAATATTAACAATTTTTTTTTTAATTTGTAATTTATTTAATTAAAAAAATGTTCAATTGATAATAACAATCAATAATAATTAATAAATATTCAAAACTTACTCATGCTACACATAGTTCCAAAAACATCAAAGATGTCGTGTAAATTGAATCCATTCACTTTTATATTAAAGTTTCTGTTAGTCTTACACATTTGATAACATTCAGTTAAACAAGGAGAGGATTTTAAAAAACATTCTGCCGTATCTTCATTTTTTTCGTTCTTTAGATAACCTGTATTGACAAATATAAAAATATAGATACAAATCTTTAGCATATTATACCTAATACCTACACACCACCTAATATTATAAGGTTTAAAATGTACCTGCCTTAATAAAAACTAAAAAAAAGTAATTAAGATCTTTAGTAGGCATTTAGGCATTACATTATGACCAGGAATAATATTATATACCTGGGTAACTAAAATATTCGTGTACATGTTTTGATGCACTGAGTTAAATTAAAAAAAGTAGTTGTATGTTAGCTGCAATGTCATTGGACTGGGATGAATATATTATTATAGAGCTCCCAGTCTCAAGACGTAAACCACAAAATATATTGCTGGACGAGCTAATTTTATAAAAATAAAACATACTAGTGTAGAGTAAACTACTGTACTAGTGTAAAAACTGAAGCACTTACCGTATACTAAACGAGCGACTTCGGATGGCATCAACGGTTCCATTTTTATAGGTGAATGGCAAATGCGGTAAATTATTGTTTCATACAATATTATAACCAACAATCGGTTGAAGAAGACCGCGAATCATAGACAAATATAATATTCAGATATTCGGATTCAGATCGTTCTCAGAAAGTCAGAAATATACGTCATGGTCATACACTCATATCTATAACCGTTGAGTTAATTATATTATTTAGTAATATTATAGTGATTATACTCAATGCCATTACCATCGGACATTTGAAGTTCTCTAATGTTCACGGATATTACTTACGATTTACGAAAACAAAAAACGAAAATAATTCACGAAATCACGACTTGCATGATAAGTGATAACTACTGATTAGTGATAAATGATAATACCACGGTCTTAGATGAACTTTAGAGATAAGGAGACCAAACTCCGTATACAAAATATGGCCCGACAAAAGTCGCAAGGTTATTCTGCCACCAGGAGCGACACGTTCGATAGAAGTGCAACGTTTTACCTCTTATTATACGTACCTACTTTTCTATAAATGTAAGTTCTTTTTCATTTTTTTGAATTCGAATGAAATATAAATAATGATTTATTATTTATTACCTGGTCAGGATAAAGTATACCTAAATATATAATCAAAGTTCAAAAGGTGTTTGCTATAAAAAAAAGTTTAAAATTCACATCATAATATTATAATGACTTTTTATTTTAAGCCGGATTTACACGATTATAGTAAAACGCGATAGTTGCTATCGTGATAATGCCTGATAGTTATTGTCATGAAAGTGAAGTATCCATACGATGATAGAACGATAGGACTATCACGATAGAACTTTACATTTGACCAAATAATTGCTTACTTTTACTATTAAATCATTTGAAATTATTATTCTTTTTTCAGATCCACTATTCCATATTGCAAGCACTACTTCATCATCAGTTAATCCAAACATCCATTTATTATCTGGTTTTTCTAATAGGTTCAGATTTTCTTTTAAATACTGAAATGAAAATTCTTCGTGGGAATTTTCAACTGTATTTAAATACCTATGCCTGACTTGGTTTAAATCTCTTTTTATCACTATTTATAGACCTTTCGAGAGGAGGTTTTCTCTTAATTGTATGCTCTGTTAAATAAAATGATAAGTTCATAAATATAGATGGAACTGCCACAGCTTTTAATGTGGGTATAATTCTTTTAATTTTAATGACTGTTCCATCATTTAAGATAGTCTCATCATAAATTAGAATATCATTCTCTTTGAAATGCACTTCACACACATAACTCTTTTCTGTGAGCATTTCGTCTTTCCTAGGTATAGCTCTATGCAAGCATCTTGCTAAAAGCTCTGTGTTCTAAATATTATTTGTAACAAATAATTAAATAAAAAATGATTATTCATAAATAAGGTTAAGATACTATGTTTTCATACTTTGGGTGCTTAAACAAACTTTTATTTTTTAATCCAATTTTTTTTTGATGTTCGACATCTAAAGCATAACCAGTATTACTAGTATTACCAGTATTATTATGAAAAACAAAATGTATTAATTGTTTTGTACAAATAACTGCTGCAGTATATCAATAATTTACAACACACTACTATATTAATCATATATTTCTAAATTTTAAAATACATAGGTATTATAAACTATGAATACGAAAAATATGAAAAGTATGATGGTATAGTTTATAATAATTTTAAATAGGTACCTACATTTCTCTTTTACTATAAAATTTAAAAATAAAGTTTTCTTGAATTAGTCATTGACAAAATGATTTAATTCACAAACATAAGTCCACAGTGTGTAGGTATAGTTTTCTTTTGGTTAAATAAAGTAACTAAAATTACTTACTGATGGGGGGGGGGGGAGTAGGTAAAATAAGTACACAAATTAAACGAAATAGGTACCTATCCAGAATACACCTAACTTAAAAGTGTTCATCAGTTATGTCCATTGTTGATAGTTAAAGAATTTTAATAACAGCCACTGAAGCTTTTTGGTAATTGCATACTCTTTTTTCAAAGAAGTTTGTCTTTCCTCGTTGCAAATGGGAACGGGCTTGACTACCTGTAAACCAATAATTTACATATTTATATTCAATTTGATAATTAATATTACTATGATCATTTTTTATCAATTTTTACTATAAGCATAAGCTAAACATACAATTGAACGTTTAATACATTTTTAACTACAAAATAAATTGCAGGTTGTAGATGAATTTTGTCCAAGTGTGAACTTTAAATGCTCATGAAAAATTGTGGCTATCCCTTACATTTGTGAACAGATATTATAGAAACTATTATAATAGGATGCCCGTATTACATTTTCAAACTCTTTGGCATAGCAATAAAATTTATATTGTCAATAATTTTGAAAACAAAACAAATCGAAAAAATGTAAATGTATTATTATCATAACTAGGTGAAAAAGAGTAAAATTGTATGGTGTATAGAAAATGCTAATAGGAACATTCGGCAGACAAATCATGTATCTATACCTAGGGATTTTTTTTTTCTCACACTCATAAAACAAAATCAATTTTTCCTTAATTATCTTTTTGTTTTTCCCGATGTATTTGAAAACAACTGGAAACATTCAATTATTACCTGTTTAACGCATCCATCGAGATGCACTTTCCCTATCCAAGAGATACCGATTTCAAAACTAGTTATGTGTTTCTTTGCAATTTCAATATTATGTTGTGGCCCTCTGCGTTATTAAAATTGGATTCTTGTTCAGCAAAATTGTATTATCTAAAAATTAAAACTTTGTTAAAAATATGTTGAAAATAATGCGAGTACAGTAGATCAAGTCTTGTACCTTTAGTCTTAATATATTACAGTGATATGACATAATGTTATAATCAAACTTAAAGGCAAACATTTTTTTTTTAAAGAACCTTATGGGCAAGCACTTGTTATATTCTTAAAATAAGTTATGGATATTTTCAGATTATAACACATACCTAACATATTCATTTATTAATTTATTTTGAGTAAACGGGCTGAGCCCTTTCCATAGACAAATATATGTCCACGCACACAATTTGATAATATTACACAATGTGTCCCGTGAACAGATGGGTATGTAGTTACAGTAGCGCCGAACCTATATAGTAAGGGTGGCGACCGCCACCCCTTTTAAATGGGTGGGTGGTGGGTCCTGTTATGCAGGTGGGCAAATATCTAACAGAAGAAATTTGACGGCTAGATACTGAGTGTTCGATAGTAAATTAGTACTTGGAATCAAAAGTGTAACGACTGTAACGTCTATACACCGTGTCGCTGTATTCCTGTGTATTAACATAGTATTAACGAAGTAGGTAGTATATAGACGTATTCACTATAGACGTATAGTGAACAGTTTAAATTGTGTTATCTATTATTTTTACATTATCAGTTAGTGGTTTTTCGTACTGTGAAGTGGCTATTTTAGCCAACTTTTTTCCTGTAAAAACCAATAATGATATAATTATTATATTGATATAATATATTGATATAAAATTATAAAAAGGTGCTCTGATGTACAGTAGGTTACAAGTAGGTCACTGTATAATGGATAGTATTAAATTTTAATTCAATGATATAATATCATTGTATAAGAAAAACGATTCTGAGCGGAGACGGTATTATGTCAGTCTAAGTATAAGACATATTATATACTTATCTATCGTATTAAAAAAAATTTACCTAAAATAGGTACCTATAATAAATTCCAAATCAATCATATCACAATATCCATTAGGTACTTATAATGCGTTATACGTCAACAACAAACCCTGATACTATCATAGTCCATACTCCATAGATATATAATAGTGTACTTTAAAAGTTTCAAGTATCCACGATTAATATTACAAAATCACAACAAAATAACTAAAATAGGTATGCTAGGTTTTTAATATGTAATTTCGTCCCAAATTTGAACTTAAAATGACTATAAAAATAAACTGCGCTTATGTATTTTTTAAATTTTTGGTAACAGAATTAACTACTTACGTGGAATCTTGCTTTAAATTTTCAATCCTTAGATACAAAAGTTGAACATTTTATACATTTTTAAATTCAAAATAATTATTCAATTTTAAATTTGATAAATTTTGTCAATATTCGATCTTTAAATGCTTATAAAAAACAATTGTGCCCATGTATTTTTAATATTTTTCAACTGATATTGTAACAATATATCAGGAGCCTTGTATTCAATTTTTACACTTTTTAGCCCAACAGATAAAACTTTATTGATATTTATAGAATAAAAAACTAAAAAAATGGGAAACTTAAAATGTCCGTAAACAGCTCAAAAAGAGTCAAAATATTTTCAAAATTGTATGGTGTATAAGAAATGCTAATATAAATATTCAGTGAAATTTTCATGAATCTACAGTCATTCGTTTTTGAATTACAACAAAATAAGGAAATCGCTACATGAGAAACCGAGTGAATATCCAATGTTGTAAACATTTGAATTTGAAACGCTCATAAAAATTTAATTTGACTTTCTTATTGACATTTTTTTTTTGATAAAGGTAGATAATCTTATAAGGAATCTTGTATTACATTTTAAAACCTAAGATTTAAAAAGAAAAATTTTTACGAATTCTTAACTCAAAATAATTTGCAAATTTTCGTGATTTTTCCATATTTTGTAAATTTTTGAACTTTAAATGCTTATAAAAAAAACTGTGACTAAGGATTTTTGATATTTTTCAAATGCCATTGTAATAATAAAGTAGGAGCCTTGTTTTAAATTTTCAAGCTTTTTTAACCAACAAATAAAATTTTATTGATATTTTTAGAATAAAAAACTGAAAAAAATGGAAAATGAAAATGTGCCTAAACAGTTCAAAATAGATCAAACATTTTTGAAAAGGTTATCGTAAATATAGAAAATGCTAATATAAACATTCAGTCAAAATTTCATGTACCTACGGTCATTTGTTTAAAAGTTGCACCAAAAACCAAAATCGATTTTTTCGAAAACAGATTTTAGTGTAAACATTCCCGTGTTTCTTTAATTTTTATTTGTTTTTCACGCCGCTTTTGAAAACTACTGGGAAATTTTCACTTTTAACTCCCCCATAGTACCAACTAGATTCACTTTGCTATCAGAAAAGCTACTGTTGAAGAAAATCCAAGCACTTTTACTGTCCTAAAATGTGATGACAGACACAAAAAAAAAAAAAAATATATTTAAAATTAAAATTAAATACATGTGGTAACAAAACTAGTCCAGCCAAAATTACATTAAAAGTTAACAGAGAACCTAATACATCCATACAAGAGTTGTTGTAACACTTTTTAGAAAAAGTAATTGAGAACAAATACAAACATTTTCATGGGTATTTAAACTTTTTTTAAAAATGTATTTTGTGCTTAATGTTCACTACCGTAGACTAGAATTTATGAATAACTGACAAAAACTAAATTATTTTACATGACTATAATGTCTGAAGTTAACGTTGAGGTATGGCCTAATAATGACCTCTTAATTTAACGGTTCTGGGTGGGTGGGTGTTTGGTAAATTTTTACTAGTTTGCCACCCCATTTTAAATTGAGTTCGGCGCCACTGTAGTAGTTAGTTACTAGCACTGTAAAATAGATTTGAAATAAAAACCTATCAACAATATTCTCACCTTTAAGTTTCATAATTCGCTCCAATATTGTATGGTTTCATCTGAGTCGGTAGAATTATCTCCAAGAAAGTCAACGTCTGAAAAATTGTCAATACATTGGCTCCACTACCTAGTTCCTTGCATGTGGTACTTGCATATGTTTCAGTGTTGAAAACCATAATAAGTATAATACATTGTATGAACTAAAAACAATAAACTATGAAGTAACTTGGTAGAAGTAACTATGGCAAACATTTAAAATTGGGGAACGAATGCAGTTTAGCTCCCAAGCGATTTTTTGGAATTTTTTTTTTTCAAAATGTGTGTTTTTGCATGCCTAATTTGATGGTACTTTCAAAAAGGCCGGTCGAACTTATTTTGGAAGTTATGGTAAAAAAACTTCAAAATGCTCAATTTTTTCAAAAATCGTGTTTTTGAATTTAAGATACCAAAAATTTAAGTTTTTAGAATTTTTTTTTTTAGAAATGTTTGTATTTATATGCTCAACATTTTGGTGGAATCAGAATTTGCCTATCGTACTTACTTTTTATGTTATTGTTAATAAACCACATAAAACTGAATTTTAAAGTTATTTCAAACATTTGCATATTTGAGAAACTCAAAATTGATTTTTTTTACTATTTTTTTTTCATTCGATGAGTAATAACATAAATAAGT